ATTGCAGGTAGGCCACACCCCTGGGGAAACTCCCCTTGGGCAGACCGGCCGCTCAGAACTCAGTCATGTGATCCATCATGGGAACCACCACTCACAACTGGAGTCCAGCCAAGTTGACACATCTTCAACTATCACAGTTTACATAGCAAATTCATTTCCCATATAGCAGTTCATATACATATTGTTAACTGCAATTTCCACAATGTAACAGCTCTCTTCCCACTTCCCTTTGAAGTTACCATTTTCCTATGTATTCCTGTTGCCTGAGCTATCCCCCTGTGCTAATACTGCCCTTCTGTTATCCCATGACAGGTTGTTCTAAGGAGTGTATTTACCTGATGCAAATGCCCACTCTAAATACCTGTCTTTTATTTGGCTGGAAGCCACAGGAGTGAGTTTAATTCCAGACGTGAAGGGTAACTAGGGATCATAGTCTTGGGGGTCTCACTAGGCTCTATCAGACCAGTAAACCTGGTCTTTTTCATGATTTTGAGTTTCGTTTCACATTGTTCTCCCACTCTATCCAGGATCTCCCGTACTGATCCCTTTCCGAATGGTTGACTGTGTTAGCCAGGCATCATCTAGTCTTCAACTTCCAATTTCTTAAACTGTGATTTCCTGTTTAATTCTGCTAAAAAATGTGTTATTATTATTATTATTTTGAGTTCTTTTCTAAAAAATAACAAGAATAACTAGCTTTCCCAAAAAAGGATAGTCTTAGATTTTGATAACTTTTCCTCATAGCAGGTCATGATTCTTAGGTTTTACTATTAAAACACTTTTTTATTCATTATTTAACTATCTTCATTAGTTAAGTAGAACCAAAATCAATTACTGCTTAGCATATCACAGTACTGTGAAAAGTAAATATTTGCAAAAGTCTTGGAAGATAAAGATAAAAATGCTATGAAAATTTACCATTTTTCTTATTGTTTTTCTCTATCTTCATGAAAAAAGTCTAACTTTTCTTTCTAATTTTTCTAAATTTAGAACACTCAAATCCTGAAACTATTAGAATAACAATGATGGGAATTTATGGGAATCATTTAGTAAGTCAAGAACTGTTTTATATTTTACACATACTATTTAACCGAAATGTCTGAACAAGTTTGGTAGGAAAGTTTGATTATTTCTCTTGTACACATTAGGAAAGTAAAGCACAGGGAAGTTAATAAATAACTCATAAATAAGCAGTTACAGCAGTCTATGAAACCTAACTGCAAAGCAAGATACACTTTCAAGGGCCATATGGTTATTATCAATATTAAGTTATTTGTAAAGGCCTAAGCAATAAGGAAATTGGCAGAATTAAATAATTTGGTGTTTAACGATATGAACAATGAATATTTTTTTCAATCAAAATATAAGTGTAAATGCCTCATATACATATTCTACCAGATTGTTTTTGAACAGCAGCATTGGCTTTTAGGCCTGGGAGGAAGATAAGGCAATCTATTTCCATTAAGATTTACAGCCTCGGAAACACATGGGGAGTCACTATGAGTTGGAATTGACTTGATGGCAGTGGGTTTGGTTTGGTTTATTGACTTTTATAAAGTCATATTGATTTGATAATCAGACTTTCAAAGAGTCTATAAATATTTTGTTTCCTTCAGGTTTTATTCCGAAAAGTCCAGCATTCACTGAAGTGAATGAAGCAGTGGGTCAGAGAATGGCAGATACTTATCTCACTCCATCTGATGAGCACTGTTTTGCTGAATCAGTGCAGTACTATGGTATGTAACAAAAATTACAGTAAATAATTTTTTTTAGGGAGGAAGAATTATGGTTAGCTACAGAGATTTTTAAAAAGGAAAGTAACAAACAAACCAAAGGCTCTAAACTATTCCTTACAAAGAATATAATTAATTCTAAAAATTGGCACTATTTAAATGTTGTAATCAATTGTAAAGAAGGAAGAGCACAATAGTCTAAAATTGCCTCCCATTTTTAAAAAATAGCATGCAAATTAGATGTTCTTTTAAGGAGGTCATAGAAGATAATTCTTATGTAATTTAGTAAATGTAGTTCACAGAAATTGTGAAATATACTTTAATATTTGAATCCAAATATAATGTTCTTGTAAAAGGGAAAGAAGTAGAAAACAATACAGAGGACCATGGAAATTTTCTATGAAAACACTAAGGCTATAATATAAACGTAGTCTTGAATGTTAGTTTTCTTGTATAGTTTGAACTCTGGTTTCCATGCCAGTGGAACATCAGCCAATACTCTATAGCGGTAAAAAACAGGCTTTTGACTCTCACAAGAAGGGCACTTTTGTTTTAAAAAAGAATTAGAGATGTTGTATTTACTGGTAACATTTCTTCTGATATTAAGCTGTCATTTGGTATCTATTCAACACTCAGCATTGTACTGGATGTTATAAGATTAAAAATTATATATGAAAATTATTAATAAAAATTATGTTGTTAACTAACCTTAGTGGCAGAATTTTGAGGGTAGGAGTAAGTCTAATCACCTGGTGACTCAGCTCCAGGAAAAGTACAAATATTACTAGTTACAGACATTCAGCATCTAAGTATTCCCAGGTCCTTTAGGGCCAATTTTCCTGATTTAGATTAAGCAATTCTCCTGAAAGCAGGAAATAAATTGGAATTTGGGAGCTTCTGATAATAATGATAATGCTGTATGTTATGCTTCATTTTATAGTTTATATGTGCTTTTATATATCTTATATTATTTCATCCTTGTAATAACCCTATGAGGTAGATATACTTATCCCCAGATAATTGCTAGTTGGACCAAATTAAAAAAGAAACTGATAATTTAAATCACGACTACAATGACAAAACTCCAAAACCAAACTTACTGCCATTGAATGGATTCTGACTCATAGCAACCTCCATTGGGTTTCCCAGGCTGTAAATCTTTACAGAAGTAGATGGTCCCATCTTCCTTCTGTGGAGTGGCTGATGGCTTTGAACTGCTGACCTTCTGGTTTACAGCCAAATGCTTTATCCATTATGCCACCAGAGCTCCTTACAAGTGGCAAAGAAGGATGTTAAGGTATATTAAATGGGGGGTTCAAACAAAAACATTTCATGATTTTTTTTGCTTTAAATAACCAGATAAGTGAGGTAAAATGTGTTTTTGTTTGAATTTTCTTTTTTGAGGAATGCGATAATTTATTAATTCATCTTTTTTTCTGACTTGAGTATGCGGAAAACAGCTGTTTCCACAAGGGAAATGTAGACGATGAGGGAAACTGTCTTCACTCCAACCTCTGGGAAATACTCATTCCTACTTAAGGTGGGAAAAAACTAGTTGTTATCCAGTTGATTCTGACTCATAGTGACCCCCTTTGGGTTTCCGAAGTGGTAAATCTCTACGAAAGTAGATTGCCCAATCTGCTTTCCGTGGAGTGGCTGGTGGGTTTGAACCTCCAAACTTCTGGTTAGCAGTCAAATGCCTTAGGCACTAGGCCACCAGAGGGTCAATGAAAAAAGGAGAAGGCCCACAACGAGGTGGATTGACATAGTGGCTGCAACGATGGGCTCAGGTATAGCAAGGATTGTGAGGATGGAGCAGGACCAGGTAGTATTTCGTTCTGTTGTGCATAGAGTCGCCATGAGTCAGAGCCGACTTGAGGGCACCTAACAACAACAACTTAAGGTGAGAGATTGGATTGATATGTGAACCATAAGCAATTATTGCCCTTTCTCCCAGCTCCCAAGCAACATCTTCAAACCTATGAGATGGTACATTTACCATGCACTGCAATTCAGTTTACTGTCTGTCTGCCCATCATGCTGGACAGCAAGACCCTGGGATATAGCAGACATGTTGAATTGGCTGTGTTTGTTGAGCATAAAACACGTTGAAATTTGAAAATGATTATGAAGTTTTGAAGTTTTGTCATTTGTTCTTTTCTATGTTAAAAAAAAAAAAAAAAACCTAGATATTTTTCCAGAACAAATCAATTATCAGTTGCATGACTCTGATGTTCAAGAATCACCTTATTGCCAGTATTCTACTGCTCAGTTTCCTCCGGCTTTACAGTCCCAATTTTTACAAGGTCATTTCAACACTTATAGCATGGAGGCACATTACAGTGGTGGACAGTATGGACTTGGTTCTTGTGAATTAAATCAGCCTACTTATGTGGTTGCCCTCCATGCTGAAGATGGATACCCTGGAATAAAAAGTTTCAGACCAATTTATTCTTCTATGTGAATTAAGGGACAGGAAGAATTCTGTGTAGTTTGCAATGATAAAGCATCAGGATATCATTACAATGCACTTACTTGTGAGGGTTGTAAAGGTAAGGATAAAGTTAAAATGAAACTGTAATATTAGTGTTCACTGAAGACTCAAAAATTTTAGGCATATGAGAATACTGTTACTTCTTAAAATGTGAAAAGTAAAACCAAAAAGTGCCAGACAGATGTTTAAATGTGGTCAATCTGTGGGATCGGAAACATGAAAATATATTATCCTTTTCATTCTTGATGAGCACTTTAACATTTAAATATAAAATCCAATATTTATATGGTAGAGGTTTGCTATGCTGTTAGGTGGATCTGATGTTGGAATAGAAAAGATCTTATAAAATGATCTGAATTTTGATTATTACATTTTCTTGATTTATATAATTCATGTATTAGGAGGGAATTTGAATTAAATGCCTTCTAAGATATTCTACTTTCGTAGTGATACTGCCTTGGAAACCCAAGGAGGGGTCGCTATGAGTCAGGTCTGACTCGATGGCAATAACAACAACAACAAAGATACAGTCTAAGTCTATTTTGAAATGTTTTTTTTAAAGAACAAATCGGAGATCTGAATGTGAAGACCATCATTGACAATAGCATTTTCAAAGAGTGAAACACTGATGAGGTTTTGAAATACTTTTTCATTGTTTTATTCACAAATGCAGTGTTGGACAGGACCTGAAAATCATTAGATTAGGCCACTATAATGTTAGGTAAACATGTCTGTTAAAAGTATGTTGTTGTGTGCCCTCGAGTTGGACCGAGTCATAGCGACCCCTCCTTGGGTTTCCGAGGTAGTATCACTACGGAAGTAGATTGCCCCATCTTCCTTCCGAGGAGTGGCTGGTGGGTTTGAACCGCCAGCCTTCTGGTTAGCAGTCAAGTGCCTTAGGCACTACGCTACCAGAGCTCCCTGTTAGAGGTATAGGATGAAATTTTGTTTTCAGAATGCCACAACTCACTCCTCACAGAAGCCAAATGAAGATTCTGGGAAATGAGAGACCAGTTTTATGAGTAGAATAGTTGGACAAGTGTTTGTTTTACTCTTGAAATGCACGACCTTTCTGTTAAAAAAAAAAATTAAAACTAAGGCATAATTCTGGAAACCTAAGTGAGCTTTTTACTCCCCTTGTTGAGTCTAAATCATGAAATTCCACCTTCAAGTGTGTCAAAAGAGGATATGCAAGGGTTCTAAGATGGGCATTAACTAAGTTTGTCAACTTTATTGCCCAGAATGGAAGAAGAGGAAGATAGCTGGGATTATTGCATAGGAACAGGAAGTGAAAGAGAAAATGGAAGAGGAACTCCTATGCATGGATTTAGGAAGTAAAAAGAAAGTGAAGAATCTCTTACATAGATACACCCACCATGGCCCATTCAATGTCTTAGACCAAATAAATTAGCAACTCTGGGTAAACACTGAAAAAGGGAAATGGACAGAGGAATAAGCTTAAAAGATTGTTCCACCCTTTATGGGTTAAGGTGGAAATTTGAGGAGAAAAGAGTAAGTTTTTCTTGTAGGTTTATTTCACAGGACAACATACTCTTCCAAGGGAGAAATGCTTCATGAAACCTTAATGTTCTATAGAACATAGTTTTAAAAATGCTTTTAGATGATGTTTTATTACTATGATAAAATTGTATCTTAATGTGATAGAGATATGTGGGTTAATTTGCAGCTGTGATTACTGGAAGGAACAACCTTGAAATAGAATATATCAATTGGGAAAGGATTGAAAAATTATCCAGATAAATGTATACTAAAGGAGATCTCCTTATTGAGGAAAAAAATTTTTTATTGAAATAATTTCGTTAACTTGATTGCATAACTCCACTATGAAGGAATATGCTAATAAAATGACATATAACTATACCTAACAGTAAAATTTAAAAAAATTGTTTTATTAGGTTTTTTTCGACGTAGCATCACCAAAAATGCAGTATATAGTTGCAAGAATGGTGGTCACTGTGAAATGGACATGTACATGCGTAGAAAATGTCAAGAATGCAGACTGAAAAAGTGTAAAGCTGTAGGAATGTTGGCAGAATGTAAGTGCCATTTTCTTTCTTCCTTTTTTTTCTTGAGGGACATTTAAATTCTTTTTACCTTACTGAAAATTTAATACATTCTTCAAATTGTCATTTTGAACATTTACATATTTGTTTGTTTTTAAGCTATTTCTCTAGCAACTACTAAGTTAGGATAGCCAATTACCAGAGTCGGTAATTATTTCTATAATCCATGCTCTATACTATATTGCTCTACTTTTGGTAATAATTCTTAATTGGAAATCCTTGTGTTTTTATTCTGTTACTTAACCTAAAGTTATACAATGCATCTAGAAAGAACGGAATTTTAAATAATAGTTACCTTTCCTCAGATTTGTATCTTTAGAAGTTTGTAGGATACCTAATGGTGTAGAGTTGACTAACAACACATCTTGTTATTATGTGCTGTTGAGTTGGTTTTGACTCATCATGACCCTGTGTACAACAGAATGAAACACTGCCTGGTCCTGCACCATCCTCACAATCGTTGTGCTTGAGCTCATTGTTGCAGCCACTATGCCAATCCATCTAGTTGAGGGTCTTCCCTTTTATCACCCATCTTCTACATCAGACAATATTTCCCTGCTATTCATAAAGTTATCAGTGGCCCCAATTTTTTCAGAAGTGGACCTGGCAACATCCTTCTTCCTAGTCTGTCTTAATCTTGAAGCTCCAATAAAACCTGTCCACCATGGGTGAACCTGCTGGTATTTGAAACACACATGGCATAGTATTATAGCAACATGCAAGACACCTCAGTACGATATGAGTGGTGGGTAGTTACCTTTCTTCAGTCTTGTAGTTTTAAAAGCCTGTAGGTTACTTAAGGGTACAGAGTTGGCTAAAAACACAGGTGTCAAAATGCAACTCAGCAGGCCGAAGAGTATCTAAGATTTTTTTTTTTTAACTTTTTATTTTGATTGGGGTGAAAATTTACAGGGAAAATCAGTTTCCCATTCAGTAATTCATACATATTTTGTCTTCATGTCATTGATTCATATCTAAGCTTTTGATTGCCTTCTATGCACTCAAGTTTTTCCCTTACCTTCTTTTTTTAAAATGCATTTTATTGAAATATAATTTATGTACAGTGAAATACACAAAATTAAAGTGACATGGGTCAATGCATTTTTTTTCCAGTGGTCCCTCTCTTCCCCTCCCACCACTGACAACCAACAAGAAAGTTTCCCTCCATATATAAACCTTTTCTTGATCCTCCACAACAACAAACTAATACTATATTTGTCCTTCGGTGATTGACTTATTTCACTCAGCATAATGTCCTCCAAGTTCATCCATGTTATGCAGTGTTTTGCAGACTCTACATTATTCTTTAGCGCTGCATAGCATTCCATTGTGTTCATGTACCATAGTTTGGTCATCCATTCTTCCGTTGATGGGCACATAGGTTGTTTCCATCTTTTTGCTATTGTAAATAGTGCTGCAATGAACATGGGTGTGCATATATCTGTTCCTGTCCTGGCTCTCACCTCTCTAGGATATATACCTAGTAATGGGATTGCTGGGTCAAATGGTATCTCCAATTCCAAAGGAATTACCATACTGCTTTTCACAGTGGTTGTATCACTTCACAGTCCCACCAGCAGTGTATGAGAGTCCCAATCTCTCCACATCCCCACCAGCATTGATTATTTTCTGTCTCATTGAACCTTTCCCTTACCTTCTATAATGTCATTTAATCCTCACAAAAGTACTGACATTTTGGCATTATTTCTATTCCTCCTGTTCCCTAAATCTCAAAGTGATTTTAAAATATACTCTTCTTTATAGAGTACTGTTAATGGTTTCTATTCGTGTCCAATTTAGCTTGTGCAGACACTATTTTGCACTTGCACAGTTTTACTAGTTTTCTGGCTTATTATTATTATCTTATTATTTCAATGTGCTTTCAACTGCTATAATATTTTTCCTTAAATTAAATTACACTCTTGTTCATTAAATACTGATGCAACATTCTGTTTACATTATACTGTTAATTATAATAAAATCCAAACTCTTCAAAGTTCTTTACAAAATGGATTCATAGCATAGTGGCTAAGACACTTGCCTGCTAACCAGACGGCTGGCGGTTCAAACCCACCAGCCACTCCTCGGAAGGAAGGTTGGGCAATCCTACTTCCTTAGTGATACTGTCTCGGAAACCCAAGGAGGGGTCGCTATGAGTCGGGGCCGACTCGATGGCATATAACAACAACAACAACAACTACTACTACTATTTAAAATTCCAGGGTTGGAGTAGACCATAAAGTTATCCTATCCAAGCAATAAGGAGCCCTAGTGGACCCAGGTATTTCTTGAGTTCAACAAATAAACATTTAAATGTTATTCATATGCATCCAGATATTTCTTGCTCCCTTTCCCCTTCCCTTTTCTCTTTTCCTCCTTCCCTCTCTTCCTGTCCCCCTTCTCTAAGTTTATCACTCCAAGTTTGAATACATAGGTGCCCAAATTCTATACACTAGGTAAAAGGACTCTTAATTAGGAAAGTTCTCTTGTCCCTGGCATTTTGTATTACCCGACTTCACCCAATAATGATTCAATTGTAATGGTTAAAGTATTAAACACATGGTACATTTCTATCTGCACAAAATACAGGAGTCTCAGTCAGGCAATCTACACATAGTTTTATGATTCCTGTGGAGGGATGGGCTGGTGAGGTGGAAATATGTTTTTAGATCCCTGGTCAAATAGGTGGCCCCTGGTGACACAAATGATTAACCACTCTACTACTAGCAGAAAGGTTGGGAGTTTGAAACCACACAGAGGTGCCTCGGAAGTAAGACCTGGTGATCTGCTTCTGAAAGAAAACCCTATGCCTTGAAAACCCTTTGGAGCCTATGAAGTAGTTCTACTCTGCACCTGTAGGGTCCCCAAGAGTTGGAATTGACTCAATGGTAACTAAAACAATAAGACAAATAGATTAGGGCTCAAGAAAAGGTTCCACTCTCACTGGGAAGCTGAACAGAAAGCCAGTGAAAATAATAAAAACAGAACCAAGCATTTTACAAATTATTTCTTACCACAACCCTGTGAAGTAGGTACCATTATTACCTCCATTTAATGGATGGGGAGCTCTGGTAGCATAGTGCCTATGAGTTGGAGCCGACTCAACGGAATGTAACAACAACAACAACAACAATTTAATGGATGAGGAAATCAAACCATACAGAATCACATAGCTAATTAAGTGGTAGAGTCACAGTTCAAATCAGCATACTGACCAGCTCTAGTCTCTGTTACCTTACCCATTATAATATACTGCACTCAGAAATACAATGACAATGTCCCCTTCATGTTATTTAAGACTGTCTCAAAAATAGTGTAGGGCTGATCTTGTAAGTTAAAGATATCAACACTTCTTGTTGAGAAATGTTGGAAAAGTCAGAGACTGGCATCATATGTGAGTCTTAAAATTTTTCTTTGTTGGATTTCTCTATTCCAGTCTGTGAAGATCTTTAAAAGTTACTTTTCTGTCATATAAAGTTTGGGCTATTTTTCTAAGCTGCTTACTATTAACAAATTTGATCTAGATTGTGGTTTAAAATATTTAATAGAATTAGTAGGAGGATGGAACCCTATGACTTACCATTAAAAAACATCCTACAGACTCATCCATTAATCAGCTTCCTTTGAGTATGGTTGCTCAACCACCTCTCAAATGTCAGGCTGTAATAGTTCAATTCCTTAGAAATCCCCCCCCCCCAGGTGGATGGCTATAAACTAACTAGGAACATTTGCTCTTCAACAATTTCTTCACCCACTTAGTCAACCATTTTATGTTTTGAAGCCTCCAAAAGATGATAACTTCTTTTTAAGACATCACCAATATTATACTATCTGTACCAAGGAGTGGAACTCATTTTTTGCTCTGAATGTATCTCCTTTTTCACATATCATGGACTCCAAGATGACATGGTTCCTTTCTTTAAGAGAGTTTTTAATTTACCTTCACCAAACAGTTTTATTCCTAATTTGAAGCAGCTCTGTGGTTGAAGTTCTTTATCACCATTTCAAATCAATTTATTTTCCTCCTTTCCATTACTTGTTTATTCTCACCTCTCTGTCATTCTCTTCCCCTTGAAGTCTCTCTTCTGCTTTCTCAGAACTAAGCTAAAACCTCTTTAAAATACACATCTTTAAAAAGTCTTCCCACAATTCCATCTGATTTTAATGACTTCTTCACAGCAGTTTTGCGATTATGTGCTCAGTTTAAGTTATTTAATGTTTACCAGATTTTCTTTTCAAATTGCTTCATATCATTTTTATGTATTCTTGTTCTCCAACAAAACAATTAAATTATTTAGGAAAGGATTAAGGCTATCTGTTTTGGCATTAGCTCTTGAAGTAATATTCTGACAGACATAACAAAAGGTAAATATTAAATTTTGGTTAATTTTATTAGTGATTCATGATACCTTTTCCTGTTCAAGTAGAGATTGAAGTCAAAGTTTAAAAAGATCTATAAAGGCTACAAGGCAAAAATAAAGAAGTTTTCACTTTATAAAAAAGGTATTCACTGCCCTGTCTTGTTTCAAAGAATAAAAATTCAACTTAGCTCACTTTAACTTTAATAAGCAATTCTTTTGACCTTATGATATGAAAATTGGGGATAAAAGGCCAAATATAAGGAAATTCATACTACTTCCCCAATTAATATTCTATGTTGCTTCCAAGATGAAATTAATATGGAAATGTCTTTAGTATAAAAAGTCTAAGTTTATAGGTTGGAGATGCAAGGTTAATTTTTAATTTATGTTTAAGATGATTATGATTTCCTTAGACTAGGTAATATGGAACCTAGAGGAGAAAGTAATATAGTAAAGTTAATTGATGTGTACATAGTTGTTCAATAAAAAGGGTTCTTTGTAAAAGGACAAATCTATGCTTATGTATATGTATAGTATAAGACAGCTCTCATGAAGTCCTATACTGTTACTCGCTCTTCCAAAAAGTTTTATATGAATTTTGTAATACCACAGGTTTGCTCACAGAAATCCAATGTAAATCAAAGAGACTTCGAAAGAACTTTAAGCAGAAGAATAGTTTTTACTACTCTAACATCAAAGTGGAAGAGGAAGGAGTAGACAGCAAGCATGTGTCATCAACAACTAGATCTGGAAAAGTGGCAAGACTCATAAAATTCTTATTTCTTTAATGATGATGTCTTGTTTGATAAGTATATATCACAGATTTTCCCTATGTTTTCTTATAGATTCAGGAAAGCATAGAACTAACACAAGAGGAACATCAGCTCATTAATAATATTGTGGCTGCTCATAAAAAATATACAATTTCTTCAGAGAAAGCAAATAAGTTTGCATGTATTCATTACTGGCAAGAGATAACTTATAATTAATCATGTTAGAAAATAAGAGCATAAACATGAAAGTTTAAAATTTCAACAGTTATTTGACATAAAGCATAATTTAGCAATCATTTTCTTTTGTGGGTTAGCTTCAAGAATGTGCAAATCCCCAAATGAGCTTTTCACAACTCTCAGAGGCAGCAGTGCTATGGGTATGGAGAATAATGGATTTTACCAAGGGACTACCAGGTAATCAAAAAAATTTTTTTAAAGTAATTTAAGACTTAAACTTATTTTTAAAAAAGTTCCTTGTTTGAAAGAAAGAGAACATTTAGGAAAACAAAAACCTATTGTTTTCTACCAAAGCTGCTTCTAAATGCAAAAAACATAATTATTTTACCTGCTTTACTCAGTCAGCTGGATCAAAATATAAATATTTTAAAATACTATTCAAATGACTTAAAGATTTAGAGTTAAGACAAACAATGTGGTTTTAAGTTTTAATTTTTTGGAAATGATTTATTTTTTAGGTAAAACAGGAAACAAACAAATTTCCCTGTACAATTGTAAAAAAAAAATCAAGCCACTCTTTGCCAAAACTTAGTTATCTATTTACATGTACAGATACTCATTGTAAACATAAATTCTGTGAGGCTACATCTACTATGTTTAATTTTCTCTTGACAAAAAATGCCATTTGCTGTTGAGTTGATTCCAATTTTTGGCAAACCCTTGTGATTCAGAGTAGAACTTCAGAGGGTTTTCAATGGCTGTGATCTTTTGTAAGTAGATTGCCAGGGCTTTCTTCCATGAGCTTTCTGGGTACATTGAAACCACCAACCTTTTAGTCTGTATCTAAGCACTTAACCTGTAAGGTTTATGCCACCCATGAACTCCTTCTCTTGCTATACTACTGCCATCGAGTTGATTCTGACTCTTAGAGACCCCCACTGGGTTTCCAAAGCTGTAAATCTTTAAGGAAGTAGATTGCCTCATCTTCCTCCAGCAGAGCAGCTGGTGGGTTTGAACGGCCAACCTTCTGGTTAGCAGCGAAATGCCTTACCCACTATACCACTAGAGCTTCTTCTGATGGAAATGCTCCAAAATATTACTGTGTTGAGTCAGTAATTTTATTCAATTGTTTTTGAAGTAACATCTCATGATTATTCTAAGAGAACACTTAGAACTCAGATCATAAGTATATTTCTAATTTAGAATGTTAAATACTGTATCGTAAAATTATCTTTTAATTTTCTATTTGAAACAATTATGTGATCTTTGTTTATAGGATTTGAAAGTTTGACCAATGAGGATCAGACTGCATTACAGAAGGGATCAAAAACTGAAGTGATGTTCCTTTATGTGGCCCAACTTTCATCAGTCTCTCAAAGTAAACAGCCCAATTAACCTTAGTGTTAACAGTTGCTTTTAACTCTGGCAACAAATTATATAATATTGAGCTATTTTTATTTTACCAGTTAGTATACAACTAAGCACTTCATAATAGCTGTTTATAGTTTTCCAGCATACTGATTTAGCTTTTCTTTTTCTTTTAAGGAAAGCCATTCTTTATTGTATTGCATCATAGGAAAACAGATTCTGCAGAGTCTATAGGGCACTTTCTATAAGATATGAACTATTTCTTACTCTAGCTTCATGCTTCAGTAATGAAAGTTAGAGAGTTATCCACTCATTGGGAAAATTTCCCATCTAACAGTTATGCTGTATTCTGAAAGAGATCAAATTTACTATTTGTATAAAGATTAAAAAAAAATCAGACTTTATATTTTTCCCTTTTACTAGGTGCTATGAGATTATCAAATTATTCAGATCATGCACTGAATTGTCACAGTCAGAGTGATGCCAGCCGTGTTATTTGCTCGATAGAAACATTTTGCAGTGAAGACAGTACTTCTACAACTCTAACTGGTAATATTATATACAATACAAAATATTATATTGGATGGAAAAATTTGGTTAGATATTAACATTTTACTGTCTTTTATTGCCTTGAGAAAAACATGGTAACGGCAATATGTTTTATTCTGTACTATGCTCTGATGAAAACACATTTTTATATTAATCTTCGTAGGTATTACTAAAGAATTTATTACTGTCTTGTTTTACTTCTATAGAAGAATGAATGAACTTAATATTAGTAATACTGAATATGCTCTGCTTGCAGCCACAACTGTTTTTTCCTCAGGTAAAGAGAAGTTATAACACAAGTAGTAAAATTTTGAATATTTGTCAGTGAAATCATGACATTTGTGTGGTAGTTATATTATTAACTTGTTCATTGCTGCCAAATGTTCCAATTTTGTTTCATCAAAATTTCCTTCTCTGCCAGATCATTATCTTATGATAATGCTGTATGAATATGCTGTAATTTCTTGCATCTTAAAAAATGCTTTCTTACCCTCTTTCAGCTCCACTTTACAGAAAAACATTTTTTTTTTTTTTTTTTGAAAGAGTTGTCTACACTCCTGTCTCTCCACCTCTCTCTTCTTCACTCCTGAACCCAGTACAATCAGATTTTGGCCCTTTGTCTCTACGGCACTATAATATGTCCTAATCTGCGGTAATTTGTCCATTGCTGATTGCATTGGTCAGTTCTCACTCCTCATTGTACTTGACTCCACTTGTTAGCCAAGTTCAACAAAGCAGATCACTCCCTCCTTCCAAAAACACTTTCTCCTCTTGGCCTAAGTGCACTCCCTCCTTATTGACATGCTTTTATCCCCTCCATTTGATTTCCAGGATATCTCACTCTGAATGGACTTAATGGCAACTGACAACACTCTTGATTTTCCCCCTTAGTAGCTGCTCTTTTTCAGTCTCCTTTGTTAATTCTTCCTCAACTTAGACAGTGATAAATGTTGAAGTAACCTAAGACTCAGTCCTTTTTTTCCTCTACAATTACTTCTTTGGCAATTTCATACAGCCACATGGCTTCAAATCACATCTATATGCTAACCACTGCCAAATTGATATACCAATTTGGACTGCTCCCCTAAACTCCATTCAATACCCTACTGTGGTGGTTAAGTTTGTGTGTCAACTTGGTTGGGCCCGGTTGACTGGTTGGGCAGCTGGATGTAGTTATTCCCATGGTGAGACTGATAATTAGCTTCATGGTGGAATCTATTGGAGCAGGTGAGTAGCAGCTTTGGGTCTGCTTCCTGTATGTAAGAAACAGCTTTGAGAATGGCCTCTAGCTATGGCACACTTGAACCCTGCATGTAGCCATGCTGTTGGACAGCAGCCTGCCATGCTCTACTGACTTTGGGACTTTCAATGGACTTGAATTATTGGCCTGCCTGTGGTTTGGTAACATCAGGACTGTGCCTTTTTACTTGTCAACGTTGGGCTTGTCAGTCTCAGCAGCCAGCAGCTGTCTGAGTGAAGTAAAGCCTCTAGCTTCAGTGGGCCGGGAGCAGGAGGCAGAACTGAAGCCAGAGTTAAGGGGCTTTCACCCAACCCCTAGAGCCTGTCACTTTGAACTTGGACTTAAAGCCTCCAAATTGTAAGAATAAACTCCTGTTTGTTAAGGCCATCCTATTGGTGGTATATTCTTGTCAGAGCGGCACTAGGTAACCAAAACACCTATTCAACATTTCAACTTGGTGTATAATAATAATAATAATTAAAAAAAAAAAACCATTCTGACTCACAGCAACCCTATAGGACAGAGTAGTTACTGTTCCATGGTGTTTCCAAGGTTATAATCTTTATGGAAGCAGACTGTTACATCTTTCTATCGTGGAGAAGCTGGTGGATTGAAACCGCCAACCTTTCAGTTAACAGCCAAGCACTTAACCACTGGGCCACCAGGGGCACCTTGAATATCTAATAAGGAGTGCTTATGGTACAGTGCCTAAGGCATTTGACTGCTAACCAGAAAGTTAATAGGCATATCAAATTTAACATGACCAAAGATGATCTCCCCCCACTTCTCCCATTTTTCTTCCTCTATCTCATGAGATGGAATCTCCATCCTTCAAGTTGCAAAAGCATAAATTCTTGAAGATATCTTTCACTTATTTTTTTCTATTATGCACATTGCAAATCTGTGAGGAAATCTTGTTGGCTGTACCCTCAGAATATCTCCAGAACTCATCTACTTACTGTTTCTTTCCGTTACCTTAGTCTAAACTATTTTCCCAGTAACTGGCCTTCCTGCTTTTCTCCCTTGCTTCCCTAGAGTCTATTCTTTATACAGCAGTTAGACTGATTCTTTTAAATATAAGTCATATCATGCCATTCCTTGCTCATATCCCTTCAATGGCTTTATATTTTATACAGATTAAAGCCAATGTTTCCCATCATCACCTAACTTTTTGTTTACTCCATTCTAAAAACCAAACCAAACTCATTGCCGTCAAATTGGATCCAATTCATAGTGACCCCTCCTTGGGTTTCCAAGGTGGTATCACTACAGAAGTAGATTGCCCAGTCTTCCTTCCGAAGAGTGGCTGGTGGGTTTGAACTGCCAGCCTTCTGGTTAGCAGTTAAATGCCTTAGGCACTATGCTACCTGAGCTTCTTACACCGTTCTAGTCACAATGAATTTTCACACAGATATGCCTTGGAAATATCAAGCAGCCTCTTGCCACAAGTTCTACTATATTTGATGAGTCCTCTGTCTAGAAAGCTCTTTCCCCAGATAACCTCATGGTTTCTCCTTCACTATCTTTTAATCTCTACTCAAGTATCATCCTATTGAAACCTTCTCTGATTATCCTTTTAAAAATAGCCACTGCTCCTCCACTTTGAATTCTTATCCCCTTCCTACTTAATTTTTTTCTATAGCACTGATCACTATCATACAATATTTTTAATCTTTCAAATGTGTTTATGTCTCTTTCCACCTCCATTCTTTCTGGACCCAGAATATAAATTCAATGAGGGCAGGAAATTTTGTCTGTTTTTTCACTGCTATATTGCTGGCACAATAAGTAGATAAATGAATGTGGCCTAAATATTAAGAAATTCTTGGTTGGCTGTTATATTTTATAGATAGGTACTTAAGAAGCTTTGTCTTTTATTTGTGGTTGATCTTGTAGAAATAACTTAATCTTTCAAATTTCAAGTAACTCTTGGTTGCTCTTATAGTCTTATAACTATGTATGACTCTTCTATGTGACTTTGTGGGAATTATTTTTTAAGTAACTCTAAAAAATTGTATGATAATACAACTTCATAGAGTGAAGATTAAATAAGATAATGCATGCTGTTTTTGTTGTTGTTATGTGCCTTTGAGACGGACCCGACTCATAGCGACCCCTCCTTGGGTTTCCGAGGCAGTATCACTATGGAAGTAGATGGTCCCATTTTCCTTCCGAGGAGTGGCTGGTGGGTTTGAACAGCCAGCCTTCTGGTTAGCAGTCAAGTGCCTTAGGCACTTCGCTACCAGAACTCCCAGGACAATGCATAGGTACAAGTTACTTAGCATAACATCTAGAATATATTAAGAGTTTAGTAAATATTACTATTTTTTTACTTAAAAAAAAGAACTGTATTATTTGAAATTGTCTTCTACCACTTTCTATTATACATTAAGATAAATATGATGATGTTTTTCAGATCGTCCATCCATTAAAAATAAGCGTGTGGAAAGTTTACAAGAACCAGTTTTACAAATTTTGTATAAATATGCAAAAATCTATCATCCAGAAGATCTACAGCATTTTGCTTGTCTCATAGGGAGGCTCACTGAACTGAGAACACTGAATCACAACCACTCAGAAATACTTAGTATTTGGAAAACAAAGGACCCTACACTGACTAATTTATTCTCTGAGAACTGAGATTTCTATTAACATTGCTGAACTTTTAGAATGTTGTGGTTTACCTTAAACTTCCTGAATCTCTATTATGTTGTTGTTGTTGTTGTTATGTGCCGTCGAGTCGGGCCCGACTCATAGCGACCCCTCCTTGGGCTTCCGAGGCAGTATCACTACGGAAGTAGGATTGCCCAACCTTCCTTCCGAGGAGTGGCTGGTGGGTTTGAACCGCCAGCCGTCTGGTTAGCAGGCAAGTGTCTTAGCCACTATGCTACCAGAGCTCCCGAATCTCTATTATATACTCTATTTATCACTATAGGATGACTGATTTGAAAACATGAATAAGATTGTTAAGTTACCAATATTTCATCATAAAGTAGACATCATTTAGTGCTCATCAAATTTTGTGGAATGTGAAAAACTACCACTCGCGGGATATTTAGGACTCTTTTCAAGACTGGACTCAAAAGAAGCAATGGCTTTTATTACATCATGGTTTCTTCACAAGAAAATAATGCTAAATAGAATTCTCATCTGAAGAAACTTCACTTTTTTTCATTTAGTAGAAAATTAAATGAAAAGATAATAGATTTGTAGATGTGAAAAAAGCTAGCTAGTAGAAACAGTTATTAGAATGAAAGCAGTTTGTGGATGACATTCATTAAGGCCAGATTCATTGTTGGTAATTTTAATTTTAATGAACTAACATTTTAAACCTATTCCTGTTACAGTATTTTATAAACTATTGAAGAGGAACAAAGATGTATGTTCAATGGTTACCTTTTTTAAACGTCTTATAAAAAAAGAGACCCTTTGTAAGACCAAATTAGAAAATTTGTGATGGTAAGATGCTGAAACAATTAAAATAATAAATCACTAAAAGTATTCTATCATATACTGGGAGATGTAGCATAATTTATTTCTCATTCTGATGGAAAGTATTTTGACATTTTTCCAATAGCTTATGTAATAAAAATGAAATTCTTAAAACATGAAATGTTTCTACAAATATTGTAGTCATTGTACAGATTAAAATAAATGTCATGTGAAATAAATGAAAATGAGAGATTCCAGAGTGAAACTATTATTTTAAAAGACTGTTTATAAGTAAATAAAATACTGTGAATTTAATAAAATACTAGGAGTACTGGTTCAGTTTTCAATAATAACAATAAAAATAAAATTACCAATTTAATTTTTCACTATTGTAGAATTTAGAAACAGTAGAATATTGAATTTATTCTTTCAACTTAAAATCTTATTTAAATATATCAATTATTAGTGCTGGGGGTATCTTGTGCATATCCTTGGCATCAACTCTTGGGCTATCTTATCGCTATCTAGCCTCAACTCTGCCTTAACTACATCTCTCTGAGCCTCAGTTTCCTTAAAATGTAAAATTAAGACATTAAAGTGTATCATCCACAGGTCCCTTCCA